TGGATACATATATGCGGGGTATATTAGCCTTGAGGAAGTATAACTTGTTGGTTAAGCACGAATTGATTGTATTAATTGAAGACTGTACTTGAGACTCATTGGATATAAGACTCCAATGACTTCCGATACACGTTGTCGAAAAGCCAATTTTGAGAAACAGAGAAAATGAATTCTTGTGTAAAACTTTGTGGGCCGGTGTTGCTCTATCAGCCTCCCACACCTTTTCAAACTATACTGATAAAAAAAAATGGCATTTTGTAATATTGATATATGTATGTTAAGTCTTCATTTATTTGTATATAGCAACAGGAAACAGTAGAAAACACTCTAAATTATACAATATGTATACGAACTAAGTCCGCTCAGTCAAATTGTCATTCTCTCTAGTGAAGATGTCACGAGATCTCTATTCATTTGGGTCTGCGTAGTTTTTATCAAGTCTTTGCAAAAGCTAGTATATAAATACAAATTATTTTTGAAGATAAGTATAGATAAATAATGAAACTGGAGTCGGAAAATACGAAGAGGCACATACACAATATCGTGACATAATCTGCTGTGTTGCTGAATTAAACTTCTTTGAAGTTGCTGATATCCATCCTAAATGGTACCATGGCAACTTTGACCACCTACAACCTGATATTGGATTATGGGTCTGTGAGTAGTTGGGAATCTCTGAGTTCCGATCTCTGAAATATTCAGTGTTTTTCTGTTTCATGTGTGTATTCTGACTGGATTCTTTCTGACTGGATTCTCACTGATTTCATTGGGGCCATGGGTACTCAATAATAAAGTGTCAATTTGGAAGGTTATGAATAAAGATTCGAAATTGTCTCTTGAGAAGTGAGAAATGGTGCGGTCTAGCGGCTGGCCTCTCTCTCTCTCTCTCTCTCTCCTACTAGACCTACTCTAGTAGAGTAGAGAGGCACCCATAGAGGCATAGCCTACTAAATGAGACAAGGCACTTTAATTCTTTTTTTTATTTACCTTGTGGCACTGTTGACGCTTGACAGTGTTGTCACGACTCATGACTGTTGGCATGGCCCCTGGGTCTGCAGCCATAGCCTTCTAATTTGACAGATTCCAGTCCAGGACTCGAGCTCGGGCTGTCTTGGCAGTAGGACAGCGGGCCAGTGGCTGCTGGCCCCGCTGCCCCCGCTGCCGGCCCCGCTGCCGGTTGCCCACTCTGCCCAGGGTTTAGGGTTTATACATAAGCGGCCGACCCCCGCCAGCGGCACAGCCCCGTTGCGCCCAGGAGTTCCAGATGCCCAAGCCCCAAACGCCCACTAATTTAAAAAAAAAAGGGGGGTTTTTTTGTTGGCAAATTGCAACAAGTCATGGCCCTCTAAATTGAACAACAAGTTTTGAAACAAATAAAAAAAGTTTACCTCCAAGGCTTCTTAGTCGTCCATACATACATAACAATCTGACTTCATACATTTGTTAAAAAAAAAACAGAAAAAACGACATTCTTGGTAACATACATATTTATCGAGAAAGTCATTGTGCAAATATTCAGTATGTTTTATATAAAATAACTAATAGGTATGTCATTTTCGTTTACTACGGAATTCCCAATAAGTCCCAACTGGAGTGCGAGTGTATTTATGTTTTTTTTTTGTTTGATGACGAATTAAAATTGCGATGTCGCCTTTTTTTTGCACTCGTCGTGTTCAATTTAGGAGGCTTTGCTCGTCGACGTCGAGTCGTGGACTATTTTAATTCTTTTTTTACAAAACCTTCGACTCGCTACTCCCTTTTTAAAATTTGGTTCTCGGCCGCTTCCGGTAGGGTTTTGTTTTTTCCTTAAAAAGACAATATACTAGAGGCAGAAGCCCCCTGATGATTGATGAAAGTGTAATATTTGTTCTCTCGATTCCTCGAGAGACACTGAGAGACGCTTCCCTCACAATAGAGAGAGAGAGGGCCTCTTTTAGGCTCTCAGAGAGAGGCCCTAAGCCCTAAGCCCTAAGCCCTAAGACCTAAGCAGTCCCTATCTCAGTGAGCCTACACCTACGCCCTACGGCCCATAGGGCCAGGCCTAACGTCGATAAGTTATAGGTATAGGAGGTAAAAGGTTACATATAAACTTTAACTTATTACAAAATATAAGTTAAAACTTTTATTTAGGACAAATCAAATATCAAATTTTGAAAATCTGCACTCAAAACTGTCCTATAGTTGTAAAAATTGGGCCATGAAATGAGTGATAGCCAATCAGAGTTCACAAGTGGGTGAACACGACGCCCAAGTGCTTATAAACACAGGCGTTTACGCCTCAAACCGGTAATGCAACACCTGCATTTGTAGCCACTGTTATAGAGTCTGAAGTTGTTCACTTTACTTTTACATCCTCGATGTAATAAGAAGTATTAAACAATAACAAAATGAATTATTTATAGTGTATACTTGTGCATGGCTGTACGTTACTATTAGCATATGATCCTTTGATCGGTATATATGTGTGTGTTTATTTAATTATAACTATATTGATATGCAATGTGTTTATTTGTGATATATGTGTAGTGTGTGTGTTTCTCTTTGTCTTCTTGTCTCTATATTAGTTCATGAATATTTATATGTATACGTACAATGCACTTTACTATAAATATATTATTATTCGATCTGTACACGTGTATTTTATTGTATTTCTTGGATATGTACTGTGCTTATATTTAATACGTGTGTAACGTGTATGTTCCTCTTCGCTCTCCTGCAAATGTAATAGTTTTTTTTGACCCTTTTGTCTCTATATTAGCTCATACTCATTTATATGTATACATGTGTATGCATGAACTTCATTGCAAATATTTTATTATTTGGTCTGTACATGTATATGTAATATTATATTTCATCGATATATATTGTGTTTATTTGCGATATTGGTGTAGCGTGTGTATTTCTCATTGCTCTCTTGTCTCTATATTAGCTCATAAATATTTATATGTATACATGTGCATGCAATAACCTATATATATATATATAATTAACAAACTTTTGGCCACGCCCAATGGCGGCATGACCATGCATGCTGCGTTCAGCTGTTCACAACTTCACTGTTCACAACTTCACTGTTCACGCAACTATTCAAATTCCTAATACTTTATTTCATAGCCTCCTGAAAATTGAACAAGAAAGCTATGTTTGTTTATTTATTTGTGTTAAATATTTTTATAGTACTGACTACCGACACTGAGGCGGGTGTATTGCGCGCCAAAAATAACAGGACAAAATTCTGACATCGTCCTGACCTGAAAAAAGCACCTGTCTATTTGTTCAGCCGGTACCAATAAATATACAAATTTACAAATTAAACTTAAACTTACTGGAAAATAAAAGTTTTAACGTAAATGTTTTTGAGGTTAGGGCCAGGCTACGCCGATACGGGTATGTAGCCATGTGCTACTCTATTAGTGAGTTACTACTCTTGTTGTGTGAGAGGCTGAGAGCTACGGGCTTACGGCCCTATGGCCTACGGGCTACGGGCCGGCCCTACGGACTACGGCCTACGCCAGCTGCCGGGACTAGCTAGCTACTTAGTACTCAGGCTGGGGCCTGGGGCCCGGGCGCGAGAGAGAAAGGGTCAAGACTTACGACTCAAGACTCAAGACTCCAGAGGCTAAAAATACAAGCAATACAGCTGAGAGGAACCTGAGCCTAAATACAGTAGTATACGAAGGAGTCAAGGTCTCAAGGACTACAGGTGACAGCCAACAGGCTGACAGAGTGACAGCCCAGGTGTTCCACAGATATCCGAAGCTCGTCTGAGTCGTCTCGCGGGCTCGCTGCCAACCCTAAAAATTCTGGTATGCACCAAAATAGAAATATATCTTTTATTGGCTATTAACAACTGATCGTGCTTAAATTAAATAAATTTGTACAAATCAGGTGGACAAACTATATGCCTAATAATATGAGAGCAAATTAGTACTCAACAGAACAATATGTACATTGTAAATGTTTATTTCTACGAGAAAAAAAATATTCAGCTGACAAGGTAAACGACATGGTCTTTTTAGTTGTAAATAGAAAGATATGTAAATATAATAGTATTGCCTATAATCGACATGCCCGAATAAAAAGAATACATCGAGGTCTATTGTTCCCAGCTGACATATCTTCGCTCAGACCATCATACCAACGATTTGTGTGTACAGAGCCAGTCACCATCAAATGTCGGCTAGCTATATGTGCTATGTTTGGGCCTTGTGTTGTTTACCGAGCAGAGGTTGTGTAACTACACAAATAAGTAAATATAACTATATTATAAGTTATAACTATAAATGAGAGTATCAACTATTTCAGCAAACGACCGTCTACTAGTAGTTGTATTTATTTATTAGGGTAGACTACTAGTCTCTTGTATAATTTAGAGGGCTATGCTCTACTCTAGTAGAGTTTGAGAGCAATTCGTATACAAAGCCTGTCCGCCCCAAAGTATATATGTGTATAAACGGTCATGTCTTCTAATCATATCTGTCGTTTACTGCTCAAATTTTTCGACCTCGTTCATATGTCGTTTACCTGGTCAAATTTTTAGAATCTGTGAGAGTATATGTTTCTTTTTTATTTAAAAAACTGGTAGCATTTATTATTATTATTTACTGTACCGTTTTTCCCACGAAATACGCTAATAAATAATACACAACCACCAGTCCGAGGCGACCACGAGTCCGCGACCACGACACGACTCACCGTCGCCAGCCCACACACCGTGACCATACAAGCTTCAATACGTTCAAACGCATATACTTACCCCACTGTACTTGACATCGGGCTTCTGATAAACTTGTTGAAATAAACGTTACAACGTTATATAAAACGTACAAATGAGCGTAAATTTAGATTCAACTTTTTGAAAAATAATTGGACCGCTATGTTTTTAAATTTTTTAACGGATCGATTTTATTTATTTGCATCACCATCTCCGACTCACCGAGTCGCTGACTCTTGCACGATAAAATTGATAACTTTCGCACATGCAAACAGTCGTGTGACAGCAGTCTCCTGAGAGTGCTCCGTGCCTGTGTCCGTATATTGTACAATATGTGAGCACTTTTCATGCGAGTATACATAATCACAAATAGGTACATAGACGTAGAGGTTGTTATGGTATCCGATACTTGCGCATCTATTAGACCCAGAATATTATACCTGAACCCTCGAACTAAAAGTTCATAAATAAGTTGTGCATATACGAACGAGCGGAATTACGAATTTGTGCGTTCTTCCAGCTATTCCCTAATCAATTCATTTGTGTTTTTGATAGACCTTGAGCTACAGTAGCGTGTCAATTTGAAACATTAATGGACATCGTTAACAATAGATCTTTAGCAAAGGTACTTTAGTATTTACTTAAATATATATAGCAGTTGCAGCACACTTAATCTAGAAGCATGGTGCACATCGACGCGGTGGCGGAGATCAAGTTGCCAGCCGCCGAATATTGGTCTGTTCGGAACACAAAGGAGTTTCTAGCTATCGAGTGCAAATACTTGAACAATGCTTCAAAATACTGCTTAGAGGAGACTTTAGAACCAAAAACAGGTAGATTATTACACCAAAGCTTGCAAACTACACCGGATCTATCTATAGTACCGCCATTCCTGTTAAGTATGCTTCCTGGGGAAAAGGGTATTGTGCTGACAGATAGTATTGACTTCAATCTGAACGATCCTTTGACACCGTATGCATTTACTGCCACCACAGTACCCTCTGTGTTCTACGAGAAAGCAGATATAGTAGGTTACACGCGTATAGTGCCAAGCAAAGACAATCGCACATGTACACAGACAGTGAGTATGGATGTAAAAGTAAATCAGTGGGGCGTTGGAGGCCTTGTGGAGACCTTGATCTCGAACGGTATATACAATGCTTACAAGCAATTGCCGAAGATGGTTGACGACTGGAAGCAAAATTGTGCCGCCGATGTATACGAGCGTAGCTTGCAGGCACACTCGGACAGAGAGAAATTGAGGGAAAAAGAAAGAAAGGAAAAGCGCAACCAGAGGAGGAGGTTATCAACCAAGTCTTCATCTAAAAGTCTGGGCGGGGACAGTTGGTGTGCACCGAGCAGCGCAAGTAAAGCTGAAGATGACAGCGATAATGATAGTTTATACTCCACGGATAGTTTGTACTTCGACCCAGACAATGCCATACTGGTGGAATACGGGAATGGCTCGCATAGTGAAACCACGGTGGATAGCGGTGTGGGTGTCGAGGTATGTGCGACTAAATATGCGGTCTGATGCACGATTGCATATTATTTTATGCAGCGAATCTGCAGAAATAATTTTCCTAATTGTAACGTATAATGGCTTGTTCACGTACATTTCGGTTTCCTTGTATAGCAACTATAATATGATTGACTGTTCATAGAGTCAAACCAAAATACACACATTCAAACTCGCAATTATATTTAATATATAATAACATATATATATATATATATAATAATATATATATATTTATATACATTTACGTATAAAATTATGTATTATATAAATATACATATATATATACTTATATATATATATATATATTTATATAAATATACATCTATATATATATTTATATAAATATACATCTATATATATATAAATATATACATATATACATATATATTATAAACTACAACATGTATGTCTATATATACATACATGCACATACGCAAACACATTTCTATAAAAATTTGGCCATGTGTATACGTACATGTATATATCTATATATATAGGCATATATTTATATCAATATATTATATTATATTGTTTATATTATGTCTCTATATATACATACGTATATATATATATATATCATCTGCATATATATAT